GCATCGCAACCGTTCTCACCATGATGTGGCCGTATTATGCACAGGTGTGATGAACATGTATTTCTACACGTTGGAATGTATATTGTATCGCTTTTGATTTCAATCAATTGAACTTGAAAAATATCCATGTTTTCCAGAACCCTGATACACCCTTATCACATGTTTATGAACAAATCGGATGGAATGAGATTAAATGGTATTTTTTTTCTGTTCAATATTTTCAAAGGCATTTTGGCAGTTTTTTTTTTCACATTAATCATGAAATTGTTGCTAATCATTCATTTTATCGGACGACAGGATTGTATCAATTGGTGCTGTGTTCGCTCTGTGTACAAATTTATTGGGTAGTATGTTTCCGTTGCCTCGAATTTTGTACGCAATGTCTTCGGATGGTTTGTTGTATGGTATATTTAAACGTGTGAATACACGTACAAAGACGCCATTGAATGCAACACTATTGGCGGGTGCTTTAGCTGCTGTGATGTCAATGGTCTTTGATTTACATCAACTCATCGACATGATGTCAATTGGAACACTAATGGCATATACATTGGTTGCGATTTGTATTTTGGTGTTGCGATATCAAGACGATGTTGCATCGTATACAAACGAACCATCGTTTATACGGTCAACCCTCTGGTGGCAACTATTCAATTTGAACTTCATCAAGAATCCGGATAAATTGTCATCAAGCATAACACAGATGACGATTGTTCTGTTTTCCGTGTTTACTGCGATATTTTGCTTGTTCTTCGGTATGGATTGGGAGCATAATTTGGCGTTAGAAATAATTCTGATTGGGATTGGAGTGTTGCTGTTGGTATTTTTCGTTGTAATAGCACGTCAACCACAATCTGAGAGCAAATCCAGTTTTAAAGTTCCGGCCGTACCATTTCTACCAATCCTTAGTATTTTTATGAACTTGTATCTTATGTTCCAACTTGATGTCCATACGTGGATTCGATTTGGTATTTGGCTCATAATTGGTTATTTAATTTACTTCTCATATGGGATACGAAATTCGATTGAAGGCTATCGCAAAAAATTCGAATCTAGCAATGAATTTGACAGTCAAAATGGCAAACAAACACTTGATAGCAATGGCCATGGACGATTTGCAGTTGAAGCTCATACAATGCAATCCATCGACGACTTGCACAATGCAAACATTGAATTCTCCGCCGGAAGCAATGTAAATTTGAGCCATCAATGAATAAATGACACACAGGATCTTTGACTTTTTGACTTTGTATAGAGAGAATTTTTTTTTGGTAATCATTATTATGATGTTTTTATAGGGTTGTTAAAAAAATGGATTTCGTTTTTATTTGTTATAATAAAAATGAAATACATCATGAAAATTGGAATAAAAACTTAATAAAATCTTAATTACATGATGAGAAACGAAATGTCTTATTTTTATTTCGATTATGAAATTAGATGGGTTTGCGGTATCATGATAGCAGAAATTTGTATTGCGGGAGGTCACGATTTGATTTGTTTGCACAACGTTTGTGGTAATATGATGAATGATCATTGATCGTATGGAATAGAATGTTGATTTATTGGCATCTCAACAAAGTCGGCATTCCTTCAAAGCAATCCGTTTTGACTTTAAAACAAAAAAATAAAACTAACGCTATGTTTGCTTTTCTGTCTCATCCTAATTACATTGTACAGTAAAATAAAAAACGAATTCACTGCACGAAAAGCACTCAAAATAAACAAACACGCGTACGGTGGATTATATTTGAGCCGCACATTCGCTATACTGCTCTATAAATTTGTACGAGCGTAATTTTTCGACAACCAAATGGCAAATACAATGTTGCTGAGTGAGTTTTTTTTTCTCTATCTCAAACAAATGCGCAGAAAAAAAAGATTGACTCACTCGAAATATGTTTAAAATAAAATCCGTGTTCAATTGGTTCATTTGCAATAATAACGATAACAGCAAGTTGATCACTTAAATAGTTGCACTCGGCTCAATCGCTACATTATTGTTAGTGCAATAAAGTGAATTGCACGCTATTTTTGCTCTTAAATCTCATGACATTCATGTTGAACGGAATATTCAAACGGTAAGCACAGCTTACAAATTTTTGTAAAATTTCATTTTAATTTTAATCGATTTTAGTTGAGGTGCAAAAAAGACGTTTTACTCAAAAACGGCACATACCTTCCCTTGTATTAGACGCGATTGAACAGAGCATCAACGGAATGGATGGCAAACGTTAAAACGACGTACATATGTGGACTACAATAAAGTTGACGAAACACAGTTGGCCAGAGTGTTGACTTTATTTGATTTGACGGCGCTCGGTGTGGGCAGTACATTGAGCTTGGGTGTATACGTTTTGGCCAGTTCAGATGCTTACGATGCAGCCGGACCAGCCGTAACCATTTCATTTTTAATTGCTGCCATTGCAGCCGGTATTTCGGCTATTTGTTATGCAGAGTTTGCTTCACGTGTACCCAAGGCTGGTTCGGTGTACATTTACACTTATTTAACTGTAGGCGAATTTTTGGCATTCACAATTGGGTGGAATTTAATTCTCGAATATATAATTGGTAAATTTTATGTTTAAGCATTGTTTGATTTTTTCAAATGTTATTCATCCTTAATTTCTTCTTGATCTCCATATCCTCGTAAAGGAGCATCAAGCGCTGCCCGCGGTCTGAGTGTTTATCTCGATGCATTGATGTCTACATTCTTCCAAAATTTGCTTCCGATGAATGTGGACTTTTTAGCACCATATCCAGACTTCTTTTCATTTGCTATCGTTGCGCTGCTGGCAATTTTGCTCGCATTCGGCGTTAAAGAATCAAGCATTTTAAACAACATATTCACCATCGTCAATTTAGCCACGGTTATTCTTGTCATTGTATCCGGCATTATAAAAGGTATGTCGAATTCGTCTATCTTCGTTCATATAAAAAGCAAATGTTTAACGTCTGTCTGCCTGCAAAGAATATCACGATCTTACGTCATTTGTAAATCATAGCCCACGTGTCTTTATTTGATTAACTATAATGGATTACTATAAAGGAAAACTTATCAAGCAATAAAAATGCAATATACTTATGGAGTTATTGTCGCGAAATTTCAAAATGCAATCAAAAACAAAAGCACTAATAGGAGATATTGAAGTGTCATAAACGCTTTGCAGCAAATCCGTCTAATTGGTCGATCAGCAAAGAAGACATTCCGGAGGG